CGCAACACCAGACGTGCCGCTCCCTCGCATGCATGTACCCAAAGCAACCCATGCACACAAATACCTCCGTCCTCTGCTTCCCTCAGCTCGACCAAGGGCACCTCTGTCCCGCTCGTCACTCCCTCTGTCTGCTTCCTTCCCTTAGCCCTGCACCATCACCCAACCTGACAGGGTGAACTCAGAGACGCCAGCACACTCCTCTCCGTCTCCGCTGTCCCCTCCTTGGCAGGGCTTGCATCGCCCCTGGAAAGCTTGTCCTTCCCGGTCCCTGTTACTCCAGTCTCTTCCTTAATGCCATCCTCATTCCACACAATTGCTGAGAGTCGTCCTTCCAAAAGACAGATGCAGTCATGTTGCACCCCAGCTTACACTTCTTTAGGGAGGCTGCATCACCCTCTGGAAGAAAAGTCAAGGACCAAGGTAACGGTACACCCCTCACACTCAGCCCCAGCTGACGGCTTCACTGCCTGCCAGCCACCCCAGACCCGCAGGACACTCCAGATTCCCTGCCTACCCACATGTGAAAGCGTCTTTAATGTCCCTGTGTGTGTGTGTGTGTGTGTGTGTGTGCACGCGCACTAGGTAGAGGAGGGGGGCTGTATGAGTATGAATCGGTGCGCGCACACACGCGCACGCGCGCACACACAGCAAGATATGGAAAAAAGCCTTCAACGTTTCCAAGTGTCAATGCTAATAAACCTTCCACGCAGGTACACCAGGCCCTCCGTCCCTGTGCCCCCCCTTCCTCTCTTGCTGCGTGGCTGCTCTAAATTCCACTCTCTTCCTGAGTCCTCAGGCCTTGTTTCCCCATCACCTTTTGAGGCATTCGGAAGACACCTCCCCATTCTTAGACAGTATCACATGGGGTGAAACCCTCTCTTGTTTAAGTCACTAAATATGGCTAAATACTTTGAATTCCTCCTTAATGGGAGGTTCTTTTACTGAAGAAACGGCGAATCCATCAAGGAAGAGTTCGGGGTGAAGATCACAGCCTGGGGGATGAAGGATGTTGAAATATGACAGCACATCCCCTGCACCTCGCAGACCAGGATGCTACTGCCAAGTCCACCTCCAGGCAGCGCTGAGACCTGGGGCGTGTCACACAAACCCTCTGAGCTCAGGCTCTGCTCTGCAAGAGAGAGTGGCATTCAGTGTGACCTGGAGAGGACACTGGGCTGAGAACCCACATGCCAGCCCTGAGTCTCCTATCTGTCAACCAGCTGTGTGACACGGGGAGAAGGATGTCCCTGCAGGTCTCGGCCTCCCTGTCTGCAGAGTGAGGACGGAGAGGTGAGCCCCACCATCCACACCTGACGTCCACATTCCTCTTTAAATTCTGTAATCCAACTTGATGAGCCTCCAGACAGAGGACAGCGAGGGAGAGTGTTCTGAAGAAGAGAAATGAGCCCTGTGACCCGAGGAGGTGGGACTGGTGGACAGCTGCACAGCCTGCACCAGGCCTAGATGTCTAAGAGGAAAAAAACCTGGATTTTTTATCCAGAAGCAAGAGAATGCTCATGTCCTCCACTGCTCAAGAAAACCTGGAAAACAGAGTGGATGGAGCCCTAAAGTTCTCACAGCATCATCCCCCAGCCAACCCCAAACTCCTCCTTCAACACCCGTGCGGGTGCCCTGACTTGTGCCCCTGGCCCCCGAGTCCTCACGCATCTGCAGCCACAGCGTCTGAAACGCTCCCACACAGTTTTTCATTTCTTGTGGTTCTCCTTCCTGGGGTCTCTCAAAATTCAGACACTCCTAGGAATACTTGCTATGGAACCAAAGTGTTCATGACTTGGACTCCCTTCTGTGCCTGAGAGCAGCAGGTCAGGGGGCACCTGGGATAACCCTAAAGATCGGAGACGCTGAGGGTGAGGGGACGGGGCCGGGAGAAACTCCAGGTGACTGACGACTCATCCACGGGCGAGGTCGGGGACATAAGCTTGACAATGACATGACAGACAACAGTGACTGCTCCCTACGCCCACTGTGTGCCAGACACTCTTCTTGGCACTGCCCATCCTAATTCGCTGCCAACAGATTTATGAAAAGTAGGTGGTGTTTAGATCAAGTCCCTTGATGACCCTGAATAAGTGCTTCACCTGCTCTGAGAAATCGCCTTCCATTCTGAAATCCCGGCTCCTTCCCTTCATCTCTCTTTTCTTCCCTCTAAAACAAGGAGAAATGGATGCAAGTTAGTACAATAAACTATACTATTAAGTGTGTGTGTGTGTCTGCATGCCTCTGTATGTGTGTGTGTGTGTGTGTGTGTGTGTGTGTGTGATCAGATGTTAATTAGACCCATGGTTTGGAGAGATTTCGGACCCTCTTGCAGCAGCTAGAAGTGTAAATGTGACGAGACTCCCACCTGGTGGTTAGAGTCAATAATGAAGATGTGGGGGGATGTACTGCTTTCATTAATAATTAAAGGCTGCACGGAAACCAATCTATCCTCACAATTAAGGTGGTCCTGGGCCCTAGAGACACCTCGGCTTGGCCAGCTCTCTCCAAGATCGCCAGATAACTAGGGTGGAGAGACACTGGTGTGATGAAGACCAGAAGTCAAGGTGAAGACAGGGTGGAGGGAAGAGGGGAAGAACAGGATACGGCGAACAGGACACTGCACAGCACCTCTTTCAGTCCTCTCCAGGGACTGGTTGTAAGAAATCTAATGGACACTCGGATTTTTTAATGTATATAATTTTGAAGGGCTGCTGTCTCAGACTTGCATGACATGATAGAAATTTCTAACTTTTGAAAAAGTTGCTCTGAAAAAAATGGTAAGAGGATAAATACCATGTTGAACAACGCCACCTGCTGGCCATTTGGTGATAAAACAAGCATGACCCGAACCTCTGCTAGTCATCATCGTGGCCACTGTTACTGCAGGTGTAAGACTGGAAATGTGCAAGTAACTAGCTGGTTACAGTAGCGATCACAAATTGTCATCACAGGGGCGCCCCACGTGGGATCTTGCGCAATCTTGTATTTGGGGTACCCAACAATGAGCTCAGTACTTGCAGTTAGTCACCAAACGCATAAATGGTGGGAACAAAAAGGTTGGTTGGTTTGCTGCTTCTCGGTGTATTCAGATCAATTAGTCTGGCCAGCAAGCAGGTCGACGTCAACGTCGGACTGAAGTCTGTGCCAGATCTGGTTCTCCATGATATAAACAACAGGACTGGGAGCGCGCCCATCGAGACCGTCTGTAAACACCAGAACGGCCAGACCAAGGGAGGGAAAATCACCAGAGCAGGCAGCGCTTCACGAGTTAGGAAACTGAAAGTAAAACGGCCTCAAGAGTACGCATTAATGACTTTCTATATACCGGGTGCAGTTCCAAAGGTTCCAAAAGATAGACTATTTAGGGCTGAGAAAGAATTAAACAGATAAAAGTACAGAAGAATGCTTGTATGCACGTACAAGTGGCATCACAAAAGCCTGCATACCAAAGGAAATACAAAGGCCTGTCAGCACAGAAGTGATGTCAAAAACCAAACCTGGTTTGGGCCTGCCGGGGGTCTGCGCTCACTAGCGAGACAGAGAAGGACCAGGAAATCCTCTCTCTGCTATAGGCCATGTGGGGGTCACAGCAATTAGCCAAAGTTATAGAAAATGAACATGAATTGTGGCCAAAAGTCTATTACTTTCTTTAGAAAGAACTCTCTATATTTAAATGTCGTGACAAGCTTTTGAGAAAAACTGTTTATTCCTTTCTTTGAGATCTTTAATGATGAAATCCTAGAGGCCCCTCCAGCTCTGTAATACCACATTAATCCCTGGTTCTAAACAAAGAAACACTAATTAAAGTGCAGGCCATCATCACTAGAAAAATATTGTATTTAATTGGTAGTTTGTGAATGTTGCCTTGGTTAAGAACCCTGTTCCCAGCACTTATTAACTGACCCCTAAGCAAGTTACCTCACCTCTCTAAACCTATTTCTTTATCTGCAGGATGCCTTTTCAGAGGTTGTCACAATGGTGAAGGGAAATCATGTTTGCAAACAGTTCGGCAGTGCCTAGCCCACAGCAAGCAGTCCAAAGATGGGTGCTATTATTACCAAGGATTTAATGGAAATTAAATTTAAATGACTCTTCAGAACAATGCCTGGCCCAGAGTAAGCACTCACTTTCAACAAAAAGGTATGAACTGCAAATGAAATTTGAAAGCAAAACAAGTTTTTTTTAATGTTCATGCAAGGGGTACCATAGTATTTGGGGAAAAATTTTACCACTATTAACTTATGCTTTTGGGTAAGCCACTGAGACCTCTGCATTGCTGTTTCTTCTCTACAAAATTCAAGTGGAAGTGGATCAGATGACTGTCAATGGCTCTTCCAACTGGAAGAAGATTTTAGAGAACCCCAGAGCTTAGGATACATTGTAAATTTATAATATATACTCCATAAAACTCTAGTGATAAACTAAGAAATAACCACTTACTAATAATATAAGTTTATGTGTGTTCAGTAAAAAAAAAAAGGTTTGTGGAAAAGAAATACTGAGAAAAGAATTTCATGCATAATAGAGATTTTAAGTATTTAACAAATTCTAAAAGCTCTTTGTAGCTCCAGCTAACTTTGAGATGCTTTCAAGGAACCCTGAGGCATCTTAGATATTAAATTAACTAGGATTATTTGATATGTTAAGTTAAATATAATCAGTCATAATTTTAGTAATTGTAAACAAGCCTCTCTTTATCAATTACAGGTGTTTAACCATGCCTTTCAAGTCTTTGGTCATTATAGACAGTCACACTGCTGTTATAAAGATGCTTCATCTTTAAAGTGATTCATAGGATGTCTATGAAAACCATGGGTAAAAACCACATACACCACCATCTCATCTAAGCCAAGGACATAAAATACTACGGGACTTAACTATTTTATGCTAATAGATGTCTGTGCCCATGTTGTGTTTACAACTTGCCTCCTTCATGGATCTAGATGTCTGCTTCCTTGTTAAAATTCACCCGCTCTGAGATCTTTCATTACATCTTCAGGATGTATGGAAATACATGGCACTCCCCAAAATCAGGGCCCAAAGACAAGTGCAACCCAGGGAAGATCCGGCCCTATGTGAGTGCTTATCTTTATATCCGTAATGTGTGGCACGGAAAAACCTGCGCATGAAAACATGTGGTCTCATTTGCAATTAATAGTCATAATCCTACTCTTCTCCCTTAAACTCTTTTTCTCTTTAACCTCTTGGTGAAGCTTGTATCTTCCAGGTTACAACAGTCACATCAGATGATGGTTATGTGAGGATCCCAGCCCGTATCACTCTCTGACACAAAAACCAAAGACTGCCCTGCCCCTGGGCCCCTAGATCAGGCATTAAGAGATTTTCACTCCCTGACAGCCAGTAAAACACTCCTACTCAGCCCAGAAGTAGTTTCGGAAGAAGGCCCTTGCCCCTCTGCACTCCCATGAGATTATGGGAATATTAGACAGGAGGGAAGGAAGCAGGGCATGGCCATTCGAGGAATGACACAGCAATTAGCACGAAAATGGCAGGAGATTCAACTACCAGTAGACCTTGAGGCTCAAGATGGTGGGAGATCTGACTTCCAGTAGACCTTGAGCTTCATTATACACTCACTGTAATATATTGACATGGAAAATGACATTTCCACGGGTGCCATGACAGCTTTGAGGTCAACCATAAAAGGTCAAAGAGTGGGCAGTAGCCCAATCCTGGGAGTCTCAGCCCCTTCCCCAGGGTGGTTGGAATGGTCCTCCCACTTGTTGGCATATGAAGCTACCGAACCCATAAAAACTGGCAACACTGCGCCTCATGGCTGCCTCTCTCGCTCCATCATCTTCGGAGACAGCCAGCACTCTGGCTATGGAGTGTGTATCCACTTCTGCTTCACCCTGAGCACCCAACCCCACACCTCATGGCCTTTCTCTCATCTTCTGAAACAGCCTACACTCTATGCAGTATGTATCTCTGTAAATAAATCGATCTTTACTCAAAAAAAAAACCTGAAATGCATAATAGACCTGCAGAATAAGATACCATAAACACAAAAGTCCTTTAACTATTTAAGGACTAAATAAATCATAAAGAGTTGCTAGATACAGAATTAAAGGCAGACACAGATATTTTCATTTTCACTCTTCATACAATTTCCCCTTCATGTTCAGAGCAAGAAGTTATGTTGAGCTCCTTACTTCACATCAATCATTTACACTGAGTCTAGATAATCCCTCATTCCAAATCTGAGGACTCCAAGTTAATGCTGCCTTACTGTAATTCAGAGGTCAGTAAACTGTTTCTGCAAAGGGTCAGATACTAAATATATTTTAGGTGCACTTAACTCTGCCCTTACAGCACAAGAAGAGCCAATGTGTAAATGAATGGCTGCAGCTGCCTTCCAGTAAAACTTTATTTATGGAATGTGAATTTCATACCATCTTCAAGCATTGTGAAATTCTACTGTTCTTTCTCATTTCTCCAATCATTTTAAAAATGAGGGGAGAATCCTTAGCTTGTAGACTATACAAAAACAGGCAGCGTGCAAGATTTAGCCACTGGCCATAGCTTGCCAGCTCCTGTTGTAATTATGTATTTTGGGAAAGAACATGGTACCGTACGAAATCCACACTGGCAGACACCCCTCTGGGATTTTCACTGGCTGGCTGCTGCATCTGTTTTGTGCTGTTTTCACCTGCTATTCTCTGGAGAGCTCTCACAAAAAAAACGGGACCCTGTCTCAGTCCCAGGATCAAGGGCATGAGGTTAAAGCAGAGCTAAGGAAAGCCTGGCACCTTCAGGATGCACTGTGAGTGGCAGGCACCCCCAGAGTTACCAGCAAAGCGCATCCAACCCTGGAGAAGGGGGAATCCTGGAGGGCAGAGCAGGGGCAGCCACACAGGCTCAGCCCAAAGTCCAGAGGTCACTACCCAACATCTCTTGCAAAGGAACTTCCAAAGAGCCGTCTTTGGGGGCATTTCATTCTATTTAAAAACAACAACTTCCAGACCCTTTCCAGCCGAGACCAGGGGGGCCCAAGGACGTTCAAGACTTGCCCTGGTCTGGCTGTCCCCCACCTGCAGCCACCTATACACATGTGGGAGGAAGGGGGATTGGGCACAACTGCTCTCTCCCACTCTGCTCAGATGATTACGGAGGAGAAAGAAGGAAAGCGTACAGGACCTGACGGCTCTTTCCTATTGAAAATCAGGAGTTTTACTTGGAGAGATGAGGAATAGGGGGCTTTAAGCTTCAAGAAGCAAAGACCAATGATCAAAAATGTTACAAGAGGCCTGAAGCAAATGGGATTACTCACTGCCTTCCCGGGTCAGACTCCCCCAGCGCTATTACACCACTGTGCTGGGATGAAGTGTTTTGCTCATTTTTGGAAAAGGATTGAAGAGGCCATTCTTTCCATTCCCCTGCCTCCAGAAGTGTTTCCCTGAAACATCCGACACTCCAGTTATCCCTATCTTGTAAATTATCCAGGAAAGAAGATCCGGCAGCGTGCTGGGATAGAACGCTCACCCTTCCCTTCATCTAAGTCAAAGCCTTCTGTGTTTCTGAGAAAGCAGAGAGAGGGGACGCTCGGAGGGAGCTGGCAGGACTCGGCCTGGGTTCTGCAGTCGTAAAGCTACTTGTGCGTCTGGGAGGGGCTTTTCTTTGGGGGCCACAGGCCCTAAGAGTCTCACGCTCATGGTCAGTGACGGAGCGAGGCGGGCCAAAGGGAGCAGGCGCACCCCGACTGTCAGCACTGCCCCCTACGCAGGCAGAGAACTGGGATAGGTGATCCAGTAAAGGACTAAGGGCCCGGATCCCCAGGACTGTACTGCACTGACAGCCCAGAGCCTATCCTTAGAGAACAGGACCCGCAGTCCCGCCCAGACCTGCGGCATTAGGGCTGGGGTGCGACCCAGTGCTGCGTTTTGCGGTCCTGACAGAGGACTGGAGACCATGCCATTCCCCTCTCCAGGTTTCAGCCCCATCTCATCCCAGGAGGAGGTGATGTCGTAGGACAGAACGAATCAACTCTCACACATTGGTACCCACAGCCGTGGGTGGTGCAGTGAGGGGGGCTCCCCACCTTTCCTGAGGTCCCCCAGGTGGCTAAGCAGTACTCCAGTTGAGTTTTCAGGGACAGACATGCAGCTCCTGGAGCCCTGCTGCCCTCCTCGTGAAGCACTTACTTGCCCCTGAGGTGGTTCCACTTGGCTGCTACCTCCTCTCTGATAACTTGCCACTGCCTAGGGATCAGTCCCCAGCCCCCAGCCAGGCAGTAACACAGTCCTTCATTGCATTAACCAGGTGGCATTTCACCGGGTCTCCAGCTTGGGATGAAAAAGTGGTTTTCAGCAAAGAGCCTGATGTTAGTATAACCTTTCCCATCTCCCTCTTTTGCTTTACAATGAAAAGCTCTGGAACCTTCCCCAGAGACCTCTCTTCTGCACTGTCGGATCCTCGAAGTGACACTGTGGCTGGGGCCAGTGCAGGAGCCTTTTGAGGGATGTGTGCTGGACACTTGGTCTCAGAGGAGGGAACGTCCCAGAGGAGGGGTCTCCCCAAGGACGCTGCAAGGGCCTGTCCAGCACTGCAGGAGTTAATGTGAGGCCATGTAAAGGGAAGGGGGCAAAGCTGGAGTTGACATTTAACGGGGATGCGGGGAGGGGGGGAGCGAGTCCCGCTGACTCCTGATTGGTTTTACATTTCATCCAAAATTTTTTTCTCTCCTCTCTCGCTCCCTCTTTTAAGTTTCTCTCTCTGATCCCAGGGGAGGGGAAACGGGAATAGTGAGAGATCAGAAATAAACCTCTTATGTCAAAGCCGGGAAGGAAGTATAAATACGAAGGGCTCGGCAGCCCGCTCTGTGCTTCCCGGGGTGGGGAGGAGGCGGGGGCGGAGGACGCGCACGCGGATCAGCCGCCAGCTGCTCGCGC